ATGAGAATTTCAAGCTGTTTTTAACACTCCGACCGACACTGGTCTCTCAATCTCCCGTTAATAGCTGCAAGCTTCTCTGTGATGTTATTAGCCGTCGATTCTGTGGTTTTGTCACTCTTTTTGCTCACATAGCAGATTCTGAGACCTCACGACCGCAGCCAACTGATCCGAGGTGTAATCCAGCTCCGCCCAGAGATGTTGTTCTGAGTTGATTCTTTCCTGATGTAATCCAACATACATGCGCTCAGAGGTGTCATTCTGAGCATTCACTGCAGTCGTAAGCACCTCCAAGCTCTTAACCATGCTGCCTTCAGTGAGCCCTTTCTGAGAAGTCGCACCTGTCGTTCCAATCCCAGCGGGCAGCCTTGTGGGGGTTTGAACAGCCGGTTCCGCTCTCTTAATTCTCCGATAAGTCAGGGCCAAGCCAGCTCCGATCAGCAAGAACCCTGTTATCATGGTTCTGAATAGGTAGATATCTTCAGCGTCCTCGATCAACAGTCCCGCCAGGCACACGATCCTCTGCCACCCGTCCATCGTGTATCCAGCAGGGAATGTCCATCCAGGGCACTCGGGCTCTCCCGAGCCCAGACTTCTTGTTAAAGGTGTCAATAGCATTCAGAGACCAGTTGATCAAATCCATAATTCTCTTTTAGGTTTTAGACACAGACTGTGAGAGAGTGTTCCAGGGAAAGTAATACAAAAAAGACACGAGACTAGACAAAAACATAAGAACTAGCAGGAAAGATAAGGGAGAGGAGAAAAAGTGCGTCCGCCTCCTCTGAGAGCCAAAGCAGAGCTGGCTGGATCACAATACTCCCCACACAGCTGTGGAGTCAGAGAGGTGCTCCAGTGTTCGAGTGGACAGGTGTGTGTCCTGTAAAGCTGCAGGTGTGTGTGTCTACATACAGATAAGGTGCTGATGTGAACACATTGCTCACAGGTTTGGAGTATCTGTCAGTAAAATGCAGAGCGGTCTACACACCACAGGGGTTTATATAGCACACAGGCTAATGCTAAGTTAGCTGTACTGCATGATGAACAGCTGAATGTCAAAGCAGAGGGGTTTTGACAGTGGCTGGAGACTTTAATTATGTAGAATTGAAAGCAGTACCTCCACCACCACCTCCACCTCCTAAAGGCGATATTTCTGTTCCCTTGGCTCAGCATCACCTTTGTCAGTGTCAGTGATTATGGAGGTCCATCAGGCAGACCTTCAGAAAACCAAGGAGCAAAACAAGCATCTGACTGAGCACCATCAGATGCCTACACCGAGCTACCAGCCTGTCATGATCTCTCTGTGCTCCTGTGCTGGCTCAACACTTTCTACCTGTCTCTGTCTCTTGATGCTCTTTCTCTCCTCCGTGTGAGTGAGTCAACCTCACCCTGTGTTTCAGGGGCGGGACTTAAAAGAGAGAGAGAGAGAGAGAGAGAGAGAGAGAGAGAGAGAGAGAGAGAGCTTACTTTCTGTGGAGACTCACACAGCTATTATTGTTCAGTAAATGATTTCAGCTTGAACTTCACTGAGGAAACTTCCACGTGGCACCATGAACCGTACCCAGCTGTAACTTTTCTTACAGCAGATACAAAGCAGTGAGCAGAGTAATAAAGCTGGTGTAGTTAGAGCAGCTCCAAGGATAACACTTGTTACATCCCCTGGCTAGTCTAGGGGGTTTGAAGGGACTAACATAAAGGTACAGTAAGTAGTGAAGGAGGAGCCCAGATGGTAATTTTAAAAGGTTTATTTCATGCTCGTTTTGAAATTCTGGTTCAGACTGAGGGTTAACTTCAGGAAGAGCCAAGGCCAACATAACAAACAAAACATCCCAGATATGAAAATAAAAGAAACTTCCCCAACTCTAGAGAAAACAAAATATACAACCTATAACCATAACCTACCTAACAACACATAAACAGGAGAAAACATGGTGTCAAAACAAAAGGCAGCTCTCTCCTACAGGCAGTCTGAACATGAAAACACAAAAATGCACATATGAGTCAAAAGGCATGCAAGCCTGCACAGATATGGCAATTAAAATGGCCAGAGGCCCCAGAAACACAGCTCCACAGTCCTTAAGTAACTCTGCTGATTGACAATTAGCTGGATTCTGTGAGCAGCATCCAATCAGGACAGAGGAGGTGGAGCCTAGAAAAAACATAAGCAGTTAGTTGAAAGAAGAAAACCAACATCCTCCTGGGGGATGTAACACACTGGTTTCCTTTAACTATCCAGCTGCCAGATTAGATGCAGAGACAGACTGGAAATGATCACAAGCTGTAAGTTAAGTGTTCAAAGAAGCTGCTTTGTTAGGATTGTGACAGAGTTATTATACATCAATACTCCGTGTAGTTAGTGAAGCACATGTGTGCAGATGCCTGTTTTCCCATTAGTGGAGACGTTCATGTAGAGCAGTGTGGGGATCCATGGGGATAGTTTACCTGCAGCAGGTTATTAACACTCACTAATACTACAACAGGACAGTACTCCTGTGTGTGAACACCACAGCCACGGCTAATTTCCATCTGTTGTCCAAAAATATATTAAAAATAGACATAATAGTACATTTAAAAAAAATCCTAATTCATACATAATAAGAGTAGCAGAAATGCCCCGGCGAGCACTCACATAGACGCTCACTGTGTTTGCCTTTACTTCCATCACAGTAAATAAACATGTATGACCTTGTTACTCTGTGTGTCTCACTTCATACGAGAGTTTTTCTAACACACTCTCACTCCACCACATCTCCTCAGGAGGTCTAACTCCAGGCAGCAGCCATGTTTGGGAGCGTGCAAGCAGCTGGTCCTGATTGTATGTAACACAGAGTCACTCACACACAAACATGGACACATGACTGAGGAATAAGTACGTTTATAAAGTGAAACATTAAAACGACAATATTGATCGAAACTATGAAGAACAAGCAGAAACAGGAGCTTCTGCAACAGGCTGCCACTGTCACGGCGCCTCAGTGACACAATAATAATGTTACTGGTGGCAGGAAACCAACTGATGTAGAATAATATGATGCTGTGGGCTGGATTTGGTTGTGTTATGTTGTGAGATACCAGCCACAGCTAACATGTAGATAAATATATTCTTATATTTAAAAAACCTGCCCGGTAACACTTCCTGTGTATCTGGAGTAGACGACGTGTGGCTGACGGATCAAAACTAATTAAAATGTCAAATGTTTGTCGTCTGAACCTAATTTGAGTTTTTATTGCCATGAAACAGGAAACTGCTCAGTGAGAAGAGTCCAGACCTCATGGATGAAACTGAGAACCTGCCTCATAACTGTAGTGAGTAGAAATGATCTGTGCCATGTTGACTGGATGAAACAAAACAGGCTCAGAAGGAAATTTAGCAAAGCAGCTTCAGAAGGAAGATCTATCTTTGTGGTCTTTGTCTTGGTTTCAGACTTCAGTGATATCTGGATGCTGTGATCTGATCTGATTTGGATTTATGTGACACATGGAGCCATGAGAGCTTCTTATGGCGATGGCCAGAGGGGCCGATGGCGCGATATGGCAGCCTCGCTTCTGTCAGTCTGCCCCAGGGCAGCTGTGGCTACAACTATAGCTGCCTCCATCAGTGTGTGAATGTGAGAGTGAATGAATAGTGGCATTGTAAAGCGCTTTGGGTGCCTAGAGAGCGCTATATAAATGAAATCCATTATTATTATTATTATTATTAAATCTAAAACTCAGAGACCTTTAGATATAAAACATCAGCTGCATACTGTCCTTAATCTAAAGTGAAATCTTCTGTTCTTAAACTTAGATTTGATATCTTGGACCAGAAAACCTGCACAGCTTCATTGTTCAAAATTTACTGCAGTTCAGCTTTAGACTCACACACAGCTGGTTCATGTTTCTGTCTCTGTGTCCTCACTTTCCCAGCATGCCTCGGCTCTGGAGGTGTATGAGGGGGTGGAGTCTGTCCTGCTGACCTGTCAGGACTCTTCTGTACCTGCATGTCCCACTTTGGTGTGGAGCTGCCACGACCTTAGTCCTCCAATCATCCACCAGCGTAACCTGGCAGGAGATGAACTGAGAAGAGCTGTGGAGAGTGGGCAGGCAGATGAGTCACAGGTAGGCTTTTCTCTCTTCAGCAGAAGCTCAAACCAGCTCAAAGACTCAGGTGAGCAGGATTTGCAGGACTCACCATGAGTTCTTCCACATGAACGTATTTCCAGCTGTCAGAACACAAAAGAAAACAGGTGAGAAAATTCCTGAGGAACAAACAGGGAGGAAAACACTGGACGGCAATTACCACCACTGACAGGGCAACAGTCTGTTAGAGAGTGGAGGTGCCTGTTAGTCTTTAAATTCTACTGAGTGAATGAGCTGATGACAAACAGCCAGAGCCCAGGAAAACTGGAGATCAAGCCAGCCACCCGAGAGGAAAGAGAGAGGGAAGGAGACACAGAGAGGAAGCAGAGGAAGGAAAGAAGGAGAACAAACCTGACCTGCCAGGACCATCACGAGTTTCTACCTGCTCTGAAAAGGTGGTGCAAAAATACCCCAGCAGTGTTGTTTCAAACAGTCCAGCTTAAATTACAAAACTTAAACTAATCTTAGACTAAACTCTGAAATAATTCTGACACATTATTTATTAAACACAGTCAACTCTGTGAGGGCACTGATGAGCCTACACTTACATAGATAATATATCACAAACATAGAGACAAGCTGGAGCTTTGGGTTATTAAACTTACGCTTTTTAAGCATGGCAACACTTTTTTATTGTTCTTTATTCAAATGACATTTAATACATGTCAGTCTGCCGATGAGCCTTGTGTCAGCACTGAGGTGGAAGCTGTGGGCTGTAAAGAGGATTTTTCACAGTGGACAGTTTCATGTCACATGACTGACTTCCTCTTAAAAACAAAAGTGAACTTTCCTTGTGTACTTTCAGCTGGAAAGAAACTGCTGAGTGTTTGTTTCTTTGTTCAGTCAGCAGCAGATTTAAAGGACTTTGTGTTTGTTTCAGCTTTTTACAGGAGGATGAAGACGTTGCTGGTGATCCTGCTCCTCATAAATGGTAAGAAACTGAATGCAGATCAATCTGCACTCACACCACAGTTTAAGGCAGATAATCTCACTGTGTGGTGTTTATGTGATGATTTAAATTCATTGCTACAAAATACAAATGCAATGATGTGTGCTCTGTGAGAGTCGAGAGAAGCTTCTGTTCAAGACAGAAGCAACAGAGAAGTAAGAGCGACTTTACATTTACAGAGTAAAGATTCATGTTTTATGCTTTGTTACATTTGACTTCGACTGTACTTGAGATTAATTACATATTTTTGCATTTAAGAAAATGTTTTCTTTAAAACTCGTAAACATGCAAATACAATGATGGGTTTAGTTGGGTTTTAGTTCAACTATAAAATCCTGAAAGTTCCAAAACAGAAAGCAGTTATTCTGAAACACCTGAGATTCTTCACTTTTGAAGATTTATTATTTATCATTAATCAGATAATCAGACAAAAGCATTTTACAATAATTGACAGATGACTAAGTTTCAAAAATTACAAATGGCTGCAGTTTTAGATGAGTGGTGTACTGAGTGTCCTCTCTGTTAGGCTGCATCAAAAACCACACAGGGTGACCCCTCGGAATAAAGAGCTTATGAATCCAGAAATATTTGCTTCATCTATCTCCCAAAAATTCTAAAACCCAAGTCCAACATAACAGGTATTATAAGTATTAAGGTGACTGGAACGTCACCCATGGACCATATGGTACAAAAACCTTACAACACACTTTCAGGATTGTAGGATTGTGGTGCTTTGTGGATGGTTGTGGTCAGGGCGGAGCGGCCAACAGATAGTGTGTCACGTTTAACTCTTTATGTCACGACCCTGTACCTTACAGTTATTGACTTATTTTGTTACGTGAAACCTCTCAGTGTTGAGTGAAATAAGGAGCAGCAGAGGATTGGACCTAAGACCAATATCATTTTTATGCATGTTTAAAAAACAATATTTTTAAAAAATTGTGTATGTACAAGAATATCTGAGGTGTATTTGTAGTTGTTTAAAGATTCATATTCAGTTTCTTTTTTATAAAATGTCTCTTTTTGCGTTCTTGCCTCGGGGCAACATTATGCAGTTAACTACACGTTATCTGTTAGCAGTGGTCATGGTGAAAGTAGCCATTCATTTTACCTCAGTCCTTCAATCTGCCCCTTCTTACTTGTATTCCTCACTTGTCCCCAGCTGGTGCAGCAGCCTGCTGTGACTGTGGGGCCTGGTTAGTAAGTGAGTGAGGGGGAGGGGCCAGTTGCACTAAGAGCTTTGATTGGACAATCCAGTGTCAGTAATGAAAATAAACAAATGGGCTGTTTTTCGTTCTTGTAGGGCCGGCTGTGTAGCAGCCACCAGTAAAATGCATGGTGTACCAGATTATCAGTCCATCCCTGATTCCAGTAAAAATGTTAGTTTGCATGGTGGTAACTTTGTGGTGGAAAACACCTCTGCGTGCACGATAAGCAAACTGGAGTGGGTCCATCAGGGGGTCAGTTGCTCTTACGATGTGCTGTTTTATGATCTTCTCCATGGCCTTCATCACCAGGGAGCTGAGGGCCACAGGACGAAGATCATTCAGAGACTTTGGGTAGTTTCTTTTGGGGATGGGGGTGACTGTGGAGTGTTTCCACAGCTGGGGACGGTGTGACTGTCAACTGAGTGTTGAAATGGAGTCTGGAACACACTTCCTAGTTGCCCTGCACAGTGCCTCAGAACTCGACTGCTGATGTTGACCCTCTCCCTGGTCGTCCTGAGGGCTCTCACCACGTCCTCAGTCCTGAAGGTGAGTGCAGAGCTGCCAGGTTCGAGTGAGGATCTGGACTCCTCAAGCTGGGCCATGTTGTCCGTCTCACACCAGGGGCCCGTTCTTCGTACCTCGCTAAGTGAGTTAGCTGGATTAGATTGTTGACGATTTCGCGTGATCCTGGATCGTTCGGTTCCCTGAAGCTCATCCGGGACTTGCTGTCATAGCAACAAAGCCGTAAGCGTAAACCTGCTGGGGAGCAGGCTTACTTTATGTAAACAGGATTAGATCGCGGCCACGCAGGTATGTCCGCTTCATTTATACGAAAGCAACAGCGATATTCCACCACTGTTTCACCATAAATAAATAACATCAATGTAACTAAAGATAATGCAGCACTTGATCCTTTTATTGATGTCACACAGATACATACAGGTCATTTCCTAAAAAAGGGAAATGAACTATTAACATTCTATTACATGTATGTGATTATTACAGATGTAATTCATATTTCAGAGTAGTAATTGTAAATTACTTCGTGTAATCAAGATGAGAGACCACGGCTATAAAAGCGAAGGTGGATTTGGGAAGCCTGTCGCAGCCGTGTCCTGTCCGTATACGCGAGCAGCCCATTGCGGAAGGTGCAAGATTGATAAGGAGAGTTCTCAGAATTCAGCGTATATTGCGGGATAGACAGGATCCTTTAGCTCAGCGCGACAGTGTGCTCATTGAGAGATATCGATATTCCCGTGAGGGTATTATTTACTTAACCAACTTGTTGACGAGGGGGTGCAGGACCACCACCTGTCTTTTTTTTCCTCTGCCCTTTTCTTGGTTGCTGTTATGAACAAACTAACAGAGTATTTCAGGGTCTCTTTCCAAGAGACGAAAAGGAATATAAGTGATAAATATTACCATTCTGTAGAATACTCCTGTATTCCACTTTTACTTGTTCCCATGTTCTTGTGGGTCCTGTTGTGGCTCTAATGTGAAAGGGGATATAATATAACATATTATAATATAATATAATGCCATATGATATTGGACAATATAGTGTCATATGATAGATCTACCCTACCGCCTACTGGTGTTGGCCAGAGGGGCCGATGGCGCGATATGGCAGCCTGGCTACAACCGTAGCTGCCTCCACCAGTGGGTGAATGTGGGAGTGAATGAATAGTGGTATCGTAAAGCGCTTTGGGTGCCTTGGAAAGCGCTATATGAACCCAATCCATTATTATTAGTATTATTATTAAATTACCTACGAGTTTGATTTGTCAGCAACTTTCTGCCAGCCCTCTCTCCTTGCTTCTGCAGCCTTTGCAGTGTTCTCTTGCGTTTTAATTAAACTCTGAAACTCCTGAAATCTCTCACTCATGAGTTCTTGCTCTGCTGCCGGAAAATACCGAGCACGCCCCTTCGACATTTTCGCCGACCAATCAGCGGGTTGCCGATCAATGTTTCTACTATCGATGCGTAGCCCCTTTTACGACACCCAGTGATGTCACATTACTGCGTCCAGCTGTACTAATCGTCAACAGCAGGTGTGTTCGGGGAACCGGATTAGCGAGCTCACGGTTAGCGCGATGGTTTGGTCTTGGATGTGTCATTTGATCTTGGATGTAGTAAGCGACGTACGAAGAACAGGCCCCTGGTGTAGAAAGCATTGAGGTTGTCAGGGAGGGAGGAGGGGTTGCTGCTCTCTTCCTGGGGTGGTGACTGCAGTATTCACAGAGGCCATGGTTTGAGGCCCTGCCAGGCTGAGCGGAGGTCCCCTGTGGTGAATTTTTTTCAGCTGTGTTTTTGTACTCCAGTTTAGCAGTTTTTATGGCCCTGTTGACGTCCTTTTTATCCAGAGCAGAGCCGGTGAAGAAAATCCTCCTTGTAGTGTGAGGATACTTTCCGCTGTCCACTCTATGATGTCTTTGGTGGCCTTTTTAATCCTCTTGATGACTTGAGTGTAAGCAGGGGCCAGCAGGATGGTGTGGTGGTCTGCTGAGCTGAGAGGAGGGAGGGGTAGGGCTTTAAATGCATCTGGTACAGAGCCATAGCTTTTATCCAGAGTCTTCCCCTCACGTGTGCTGCATGTAACATACTGTTGGTATCCTATAAGATAAGATAAGATAAGATAAGATAAGATAAGATAAGATAAGATAAGATAAGATAAGATAAGATAAGATAAGATAAGATAAGATAAGATAAGATAACCTTTATTAGTCCCACATGTGGGAAATTTGTTTTGTCACAGCAGAAAGTGGACAGTGCAAAAGTTATATAGCAAAAATTAGAGAACACTGGAATACAATAAGAATAATATACTGTGCACAACTGTACAGAATAGAAAAGAATAAACTAAAATACTATATACAATAGAATAAAATAAAATATACAATGGGATAAAAATAGAATACAAATGCTTTATACAACTAAGTAAAAATACAACTTTGCACATGTGTGGGTTTGTGTGGTAAATGGTAAATGGCCTGTATTTGTATAGCGCTTTACTAGTCCCTAAGGACCCCAAAGCGCTTTACACATTCAGTCACACACACATTCACACACTGGTGAATGTGTGTTTGATCAGTTAAAGTCTTTGTTGTGGAGTCTGACATCAGTGGGGAGGAAAGACCTGTGAAATCTCTCCGTCCCACACTGTGGGTGCTGCAGCCACTGAAGGAGCTGCTCAGTGCTGTCAGAGTCTCCTGCATGAGGTGGGAGATGTTGTCCAACAGGGATGACTGCTTAGCCACCATTCTCCTGTCACTCATCACCTCCACTGGGTCCAGAGGGCATCCTAGAACTGAGCTGGCCCTGCGGATCAGCCTGTTCAGTCTCTTCCTGTCCCGGCAGAGATGCTGCCGCCCCAGCAGACCAGACTTTAAGTGACTTGTCAGGGGAACAGTGGTTTAAATCTCCCAGGATGAACTTGGGAGAATCCGGTGATAATTGTTCCAGTTTGTACAGATTGTTGGTGAAGTACTCTGTGGCTTTAGCTGCATCAGCTCTGGGGTTGATGTAAACCAAGATGATGAAAAGCTGTGGGAATTCTCGGGTGAGGTAGTAGAGGCGCAGGGAAACAGCCAGAAGCTTGATGTCTGTGGTGTACAGTTTCTCCCTCACAGTGACTGTAGAGGACCAGCTGTTGTTTAAATACAGACACACGCCGCCGCCTGTCCAGACGAAGAAGTGGTGAAAAGCCATCAATTTCTTGGCTGCTGCCTCAAAGCACACTGTGCGCTGTCTATCTTGCGTGCTGCACAATATCGT